CACTGCCCTCATTTTTTTTCTTTTTTTTTTTTTTTGAGGATCTCACTGTGTCGTCCTAAGTAAAGTATAGTGGAGTCACAGCTCACAGCTACCTCAAACTCTTGGGCTTAAGCAATTTTCTTGCCTCAGCCTCCCAAGTAGCTGGGACTATAGGCGCCCATCACAATGCATGGCTATTTTTTGTTGCAGTTGACATTGTTGTTTAGCTGGCCCAGACTGGTTTCAAACCCTCCAGCCTTGGTGTATGTGGCTGGCGCTGTAACCACTTTGCTATGAGCATTGAGCCAAAAAAAGAAAATACCTTTCAAAAAATCTTTTTGTTTTGTTTTGTTTTTTGACTGGGGCTGGGTTCGAACCTGCCACCTCCAGCATATGGGGCTGGTGCCCTACCTTTTGAGCCACAGGCACCACCCTAAAATCTTTTCAATAAACATATTTCCTTAGCTTTCTCCAGCTTCCAAAAGGTTCAACCTGTTGTTTTTACATGGAGTCCATTTACAAAAAACCTCTCTGCATGGGCACTGTCTTCTCTTCTAGTTCTAAAGCCCACAGCATTAACTTTGATCAAAGGTTAGTTTGGGACTGCCCCTCCCTGGAAGGCCAGAAGAGCCCACCCCTCAGTTATTCAAGGCCTGCTATCATGGATGTCCATAGTAACAGCCAGAGGGGATTTGGGATGGGGGAGACTGATCATGTGGCCTGTACAGTAAAAACAGGATGCATCTTTCCCCCCATGACCCTTACTTGTGTGGCTGCTATTTCCCCCAGGGGACCCTGGCAGTCTGCCTTATAGACAAATAGCATGACCACCATCCTTTGTCAGTTTTATTCTGTGGGGCACACCAAACACCTGAGGTGCAGCAGCTCATTTAATCTCAGCTTGATTTCTTTCCCATGGTGCAGGTGAGGGCACTGAAGTACATGAGATTGAGGATTTTGCTGAGGTCTATCCCAGGAAGCCTGGTTTGAGAACCTGTACGTGTATTTCCTGATATAGGCTGAAGGGCCCCTGACATCTGGGTGCAGCACCATGCTCCACCCACTACACCCACTCTGTGTGAGGTTCTGAGGCCAGCACAACACAAATAGGGGTGTGTCCAGGACAGAGAGCCTCAGGCCAGCACAGTATCATGGTCCCACAGAGGGGATCCTTACATCGATCTCATCCAGGGTCCCCTCCAGATATCTCCGGACCTGGGAGTTGATCTCAGCAATCTGGACTTCATCCATGGGGTCGTAGGTCACCAGGGTACGGTTGGCCTTGAAGGGGAATAAAGAGCATGTGGATACACAATAAGGACCTGAGCCTAAGCAGGAGTAGCAGGGGCTATTCTGAGAGCCAAAGTAGGGAAGCGGGGCATAAGTCCTGATGGCTGCCTAAACTGGCTTTGTTTCCTTCCTCATCCAGCCCTGGCAGATTGGGTCAGAAAGGGATAATGAGGTGGGGGAGAGAAGGAAAGGCCTCTGCTCATGGTGGGTGAACTCTACACAGAGTCTCAGCAGACTCTGTAGGATGAGGACCATACAGGGGCTCTGACTCTGCCTTGAGTCAAGACCATAAACATCAGCCTAGAAAGGCTGCCAGAGGACTCCTACTCCCTTCCCTCATAGCCCCCCACTGCTGCCCCTTCCCTGTCATCCAGTCTCCCACCTCCCTATTGGACCTTGACCCTTATGCTGCCTGCCCCTGGTCCCAGGATCTCCCCCCTCCTCCCTTGTCTTTTGCCTCTTACCAGGCTGTCATGGATGGCCAGCTCCTGCTTGAGCAGTGCTAGCTCTTTCTCCAGGTTCTTGACCATTCGCTGCCAGGAAAACATGGGGGTGGGGGCAATGGGAAGGGTCATCAGAGAAGTTATCCTGTCTCTTCCACATCAAGCACACAATTCCTCGTTCTGTGCCCAGACATCTTGGTCAATCCTGGTAATCCATGGGGTATACTCTCAGCTTTTGGGTGATTCTCTCCCTACTGGTAACCCTCCACCAACTGGGGTGAGTTAGGGTTGAAGAGGGCCAGAGCAGTCCACTGGCCTTTGCCTCTTCCAGCAGGGAAGACTGAGAACAGAGTGAGCACAAGCCACAGGGCCACCTCAAACCCCAGTCCCAGGACCTCCAGGTTCTTTCCAGTCTACCACGGAATGGACAATGGGTCCATTCAGCACAGCCCATGGACTCCAGGATACTTTTCATGCATAGTCGTAATTCTTATCCTCCTTTTGCTGCAAGAACATCTTCATCTTCATTTATTAGTGTCCTTACAGATTTCCATATGATAACACAGTGACCTACTAGGCTCTATGAGTCTGTATTCAGTCCCTCTTTGTATTGCTCTCCCTGCCTCACTCTACTCCCACCAAATTTGTACATTCCCACCTTTGTATTGTCTGTCCACTGCCATATGATGTTCTTTTCCCAGGCACTTCCATGACTCATCCTCATCTCCTTAAAAACTTTGTTCAAAAGCCTCTACATTAGGTGCACCACAAACACTCTATTTAAAATTGCAATACCTTCCCCAACCATTCTAAAAATTACAATTTTTTTAATGGCATATATTACCTAACATACTCTAAACCAGTGCTGTCAATGTTTTCTGCAATGATGGAAACGTTCCCTGTCTGTGCTATCTAGTAGGGTAGCCACAAGCCACATACAGCTATAGAATGCTTGAAACGTGGCTTAGTGGAACAAGACAGTGAATCTTAATGTTAAATAATTTAAGCAGCCACATGGGAGTAGCAGTTACCATATTGGACAGTGAAGCTTTAGAACTTACCTATTTATTGTAATGATTATTATTATTATTTATTGAGACAGAGTCTCACTATGTCGCCCTCAGTAGAGTGCAGTGGCATCACAGCTCATAGCAACCTTAAAGTCTTGGGCTTAAATGATTCACTTGCATCAGCCTCCCAAGTAGGTAGGACTATAGGCACCTGTCACAACGCCCATCTATTTTTTGGTTGTAGTTGTCATTGTTGTTTGGCAGGCCCGGGCTGGGTTCGAACCTACCAGCTCTGGTGTATGTAGCTGGTGCCCTCGCCACTGAGCTACATGGTCCCAAGCCATATTTATTGTGATGATTAATATCTATTTCCCCTACCCCTGACAGAGTATAAGCACAGACAAAGATTTGTGTTTCTGTTTGTATAGTCATGTATCCTACATGCTTCAAAAAGTACCTGGTACAGGGTGGTGCCTGTGGCTCAGTGGGTAAGGCGCCGGCCCCATATACCGAGGGTGGTGGGTTCAAACCCGGCCCCAGCCAAACTGCAACAAAAAAATAGCCAGGCGTTGTGACAGGCACATGTAGTCTCAGATACTTGGGAGGCTGAGGCAAGAGAATTGCTTAAGCCCAGGAGTTGGAGGTTGCTGTGAGGTGTGTGACACCACAGCACTCTACCGAGGGCGATAAAGTGAGACCCTGTCTCTACAGAAAAAAAAAAAAAGTACCTGGTACATAGTAAGCACTCCATATATTTCAGTTGAATGGATAAATGATACATTTTGAGAAGCAGAATTGCTAAATAATTTTATATTTGAAAGCTATTGTCTTAGTGTCTTCCATGAAAGAGGCACAAGGGACTTATACTGAGAACCCTTGCTGCATACAACAGGACTTCCTTTAGTTGCCATAAATGGACCACTGGAGGGAGCCCCTAACACCTGGATCCCAGGACTAATGACCAAAGTTGTAACAAGTCCACTGCTCCAATGACCCTCTCCCAGACCAAAAGCCTGCTGTAGTCTAGCCCTCATCCAATCAGGTCACCTAGTCAGCAAGGCCCACCTGACACTAGGCCCTCACAAAGCAAAAGGTGACAGACCCCTGGCATCCTGGTGGCTCTGTGATAATTAAAGCCAAAGCCTGGGACTCAAGGTACATGACCAGGGTCCAAATCCTGGCTCTGCTTCTCTGGGTATCCATAAGGTCTCTTTAGGTATGGACTTCCTATGGGATCAAGGGGAGAGGCTTGGCGGCCAGTCCCACTTGTCTGCATCCCCTCCTTCACTCAGAAGAAAATGCAACATGGCTCAGCTAAAGAATATCTGGCTGAGCCATTGGGGACCTCCAGCTTGATGACTCTGTTCAGGAGAGCCAGGTTCAGATATCTGGGCCAGACAGAGGTGATGCGAGGAAATGGACCCTTTGCTCCCACAGGACATTGCCTCTAAGTCACACCTTGAGAGAATGCAAGCTGATTTTCCTAATGCCTGTTAGGATTAGTGGCCTCCCAGTTACCTTCTTCTACTGACTGGAGAGCAGAGGCCTGGAAACACAGGGCTGGGGCAGCAGATCCCAGAGTACAGGATCTGGCAGAACTTCCTCTGTAAAAACCATGGGTAGGCTCCACACCTGTGGCTCAAGCGGCTAAGGCGCCAGCCACATACACCTGAGCTGGCAAGTTCGAATCCAGCCTGGGCCGGACAAACAACAATGCTAGCTGCAACCAAAAAATAGCCAGGTGTTGTGGCAGGCACCTGTAGTCCCAGCTACTTGGGAGGCAGAGGCAGGAGAATCGCTTGAGCCCAGGAGTTAGAGGTTGCTGTGAGCTGTGATGCCACTGTACTCTACCCAAGAGGACAGCTTGAGGCTCTGTCTCAAAACAAAAAACAAAAAAAAACAAACCACGGGTATTTTACAGCTGGAAAACATGCCTTGGAAACAATAAACTCTAGTAACGTGGTCAGGTGTTTTCATCTTAAATGTAATGAAGATAATCTAGAGAGTTCTGCTGAAGTGCACACGAGGCTCAGGGCAGCTTGGGCAGTTTCTCCACCTTTTTTCTTTTAAATACCCTATGGTCAGTTAATTAAGTTTCCCAATTTTGATCCCACAGCAGCCTGCAGGTATATTTTTTTCTTGGTAGAGTGGGATACACCAAGTCTCTCCCTGCTGTTTATGTCTGAGGCTTACAACCCTTTACACCACATCACAGAATCACAGATGGACAGAGTGGGAAGGTCACTGAAGATCTTCAGTCCAGTCCTCCAGTCTCCTTGTTCACAGATGAAAAACCTGAGAAAGGCCTGGTGCCTGTGGCTCAAGTGGATAAGGCGCCAGCCACATACACCTAAGGTGGCAGGTTCGAATCCAGCCCTGGCCCGCCAAAACAACAATGACAGCTGCAACCAAAAAATAGCTGGGCATTGTGGCGGGCACCTGTAGTCCCAGCTACTTGGGAGGTGGAGGCAGGAGACTCGCTTGAGCCCAGGCGTTGGAGGTTGCTGTGAGCTGTGACACCACAGCACTCTACCAAGGGTGATAAAATAAGACTCTGTCTCTAAAAAAGGGAAAAAAAACAACCTGAGAAAACCACCTCCAATTCTGACTTCAACAGCATTCTGCCACCATACAGGCTTCGGGTTTTTTTTGTTTTTTTGAAGTTTTTGGCCAGGGCTGGGTTTGAACCCACCACCTCAAGCATATGGGGCCGGTGCCCTACTCCTTTGAGCCACAGGCACCACCCTGTTTTTGTTTTTTCTTAAAAGATAGGGTCCTGGCTGGGCATGGTAGTTCACACCTGTAATCCCAGCACTGGGGAGCAAATGCGGGTGGATTGCCTAAACTCACAGGTTTGAGACCAGCCTGAGTCAGGGCAAGACCCGTCTCTTAAAAAAACAGCCAGGCATTGTGGCAGGCACCTATAGGAGAGGAGCACTTGAACCCAAGAGTTTGAGGTTGCTGTGAGCTAAGATACCATAGCACTCTACCAAGGGTGACCAAGTGAGATTGTCTCAAAATAAATAAATAAAAGATTGGGTCCTAGGGTGGCACCTGTGGCTCAAAAGAGTAAGGTGCTGGCCCCACATGCTAGAGGTGGTGGGTTCAAATCCAGCCCTGGTCAAAAAAAAAAAAGAAAAAGATAGGGTCCTACTTTGTCATCCAGCTGGAGTGCACTGCAGTGCAATCACACCTCACTATAACCTCAAACTCACTTGAGCCTCCCACCTCAGCCTCCTGAGTAGCAAGGACTACAGTCCTTGTGTGCTAATTAAGTTTTTTGTAGAAATGGTGTCTCACTATATTGCCCAGACTGGTCTTAAAGTCCTAGGCTTAAGCTATCCTCCTTAGGATGGATGGCACTTTTAGGCCTCAGCCTCCCAAAGTGCTGGGATTACAGGTGTGAGCCAATGTGCCTAGCTGTTTTTTTTTGTTGTTTGTTTTTGTTTTTTGCAGTTTTTGGCCAGGGCCAGGTTTGAACCCACCACCTCTGGTATATGGAGCTGGCAACCTACTGCTCTGTTTTTTGGTTTTATATTGCATTTAATCAGTGTTTGCCACTGATGGCAGCATGGCTTAGTCCTGTTTTTTTGTTTTTGTTTTTGTTTTTTAAGTAAAACATTTCAGGGCTAGGCGAGGTGGCTCACACGTGTAATCCTAGTACTCTGGGAGGCTGAGGCAGGTAGACTGCCTGAGCTCAAGGGTTCAAGACTAGCCTGAGCAAGAGCAAGACCCCGTCTCTAAAAATAGCCAGGTGTTGTGGGTGTCTATAGTTCCAGCTACTTGGAGGCTGAGGCAAGAGAATTGCCTGAGCCCAAGAGTTTGAGGTAACTATGAGCTACCCTGCCATCCCAGAGGCAACCTCTTGCTTTAATTTGGTCTTTTCACTCTCACACATTTTTTTTTCTTGAGACAGAGT